TTTTGAAGAAAAAGTTAGGATATATTTAAATATAAAATTAATAAAAGTTGAGTAAAAGAATGAAAGAAAATGTATAAAATTGAGTAAAAAGATGAAAGAAAAAGTATAAAGTTGAGTAAAAATAAGAGAAAATATGTTTTTAATAATTTTATATTTTAAAAAATCTACAAAAATTCATGATAAAGATGGTTTTACGTTCCTAAACAAGTATTACGTATTAGAGAAACAATTATATGCATAAATCCAATACACAACTTGACAATAAATAAATAAGAACCATTAAAAAAATATGATAAGAATAAAGGGTCTTTGGAAGATCCCATAATTTATGGTCTTGTTAAGGACCACCCTCTTATCCACTGTCCATAAGACACATATCCCTATGCTTTTATAGACAATTTTTTTTTGTTGATCATAGTAATATGAATATTATTTTACGTATAATATACATAAAATTATCTTTTTTTTATGTTCATCAAATAATAAATGAACATCATGGGAAGATTTATTGAGAGAATTCAAGAAATGGAAGAGCATTGTATATATGACATGAATCTGCATGGCGTCTCAATGTAAAATAGTTTATTTATTAAACTTGCGATACAATAAGAACAAAAAATGTCAAATTGTTTGGTAGCTAATGAATTATTTTGTCAAAAGTTAAAAAAACAATGCGTACGTGTGGATTGGGATGGTCTATTTAATTTGCTTGCCAAGCCAAGTAAATAGTCAACTGTTTGTTTTTTTTGCTAAAAACTGTTTGTTTTTTTTGCTAAAAACTGTTTGTTTCCTAATCTTTACTTATTTTATTTTCTCAATACAGATGAATAACACCAAAAATTCATAACTTTGCTGCGTAAATTAAGAACACATATTTCAACGCTAAACCTAATTTACTTTAATTTTTGGTTTTTGAGGAGGGGGAAATAGAATGTACAATGTCTCTCACACGTGTGACAGCGATATTACGAAAAGGCCAAACAAAGAAAAAAAATCGACAGTGAAGAGTTCCGGTCAAGTAAGAAAGGGTATTTTAGTAAAGTTAAGGAGTGTGTCGCTAGTCATTTATCTTGTCTCCGTTTTACCCAACTCCGTGACTTTCTTCCCTCACTGTCAGACAAACAAACCTTAACCATGGTTAAATCTCTCCGGTTTAACTTAACCGCACATCCTATTAACTCACTGTCAATGGTTAAAAGTGAAAATACAGCAAAAAAATATAACTAGATACGCGCAGACAAAGAAGACAGTGGACACATGTTACACTTGCACAAGATTGTTTAGATCGTACGATAAGGTTTTAAATTACGGCTTTTAAATCAGAGCCGTTGAAGTGAATAGAAATAAAGCGAATCGACGGTTGTGATTTAAAGATTACAAAGTATCCAATTAAAAGTAGCCGACTCAGGAGAAAAAGCACAAAAACAACTCGTGAAATAAATGTCATATCAGGGAAAGAAAAGATAAGAGAAGAGAATAGTGGTGTCAATGATGCTCTTCCCAGAATTTTTCACCAAGCAAAATAACATGATCTTTTTAAAAAAAATTATACTTTAACAATTGTCTAAATCAATGTCTCTATTATTTTATGCACTAAAACTACTTCTTCTTCTTTTTAACACTTTTTTTATGGTATTATCGCCATTTGTACACTCTTTGTCAGTCTATGGTACTCTCGTAGTCTGTACTAATAAAACAACATTTATTTTTGGTAGAGACCTTTGGCCATCTCCATCCATGATTTTTAGACAGTTTTTAGACAGTTTTTAAAATATAAAATTATTAAAACACACATTCTCTCTTTTCCTTTTATTCAACTTTATACTTTTTCTTTCATATTTTTACTCAATTTTTATTAATTTTATATTTAAACACACTTAAAAACACTCTCCAAAAGTTTCTTAAGGGCATCTCCATTGGGAGTTTTTAGGGAGTTTTTAAAATATAAAATTATTAAAATTTGAGTAAAAGAAAGAAAAGAGTGTTTTTTGTTGAAATAGTGGGGTGTATTGAAATATAAAATTGATAAAATTTGAGTAAAAAGAGGAGATAGTGGAAAGAGGGTATGTTTAGGTTGTATGTTAAGAAACTTTTGGAGAGAGTTTTTAGATGTATTTAAATATAAAATTAATAAAAGTTGAGTAAAAGTATGAAATAGAAGGTATAAAGTTGAGTAAAAAGAAGAGAGAGTGTGTGTTTTAATAATTTTATATTTTAAGAACAGCCTAAGAACCATAGATGGAGATGGCCTAACATACAACCTAAACATACCCTCTCTCCACTATCTCCTATTTTTTACTCAAATTTTATTAATTTTATATTTTAATACACTCCACTATTTCAACAAAAAACA